TTACGGAGACGCAAATACTCTGCCCGGCTGACAGCAGCTACTTGAATTACCCTGGCTATATGCTTGAAGAGTCCTTCAAAGCGAAAGCTGGGGTCTGCTTGTTTGTCCGGGCAGATGTTTGCTGTCGCCGTCTGCGTCATTTGGAGGACCCCTCCTTCTCCATCCTTGGGGTACATGTCGACCTGGGCAGTCATTACCGTGTCTACATGTGCCTCTACAGATCCCACCACGGCGACATGGAGACAACTCGTCTCATAGACCACCTTACTCGGGCGGCAGATGACGCGCAGGCGCAGTTTCCTACAGCGGAATTGGTGTTTTTAGGGGACTTCAATGCTCACCACGAGTCGTGGTTAAGTTCCTCTAAAACTGACCATGCTGGAAGAACTGCCCACACATTCGCTCTCACACACGATTTAACCCAACTGGTAAACCAGCCCACCCGGATACCAGATAGGGTTGGTGACGCGCCCTCTTTGTTGGACCTTCTGCTGACTTCTCGCCCGGCTGGATATCGGGTGGAGGTCCAAGCTCCTCTGGGCACTTCGGATCACTGCTTGATATCCACTAAAGTGGCAACGTTACTGCCACCACCACCTACTGTGGCTAAACGCCGCATTTGGCATTATGCGTCGGCAGATTGGGACGGTATGCGGGACTATTTTGCATTCGTTCCTTGGCGGCAGCGCTGTTTTAGTGAGGTGGATCCAACAGCTAGCGCGACTGCCGTTGCTGATGAGATCCTAATCGGGATGGAATATTACATCCCGCATTCGGATGTCGTCAGTAAAGGGAGGCGCAACCGCTGGTTCAACCGCGAGTGTGCTGTGGCTGTTGAGAACAAACAGACTGCATACCGCGCTTGGATCAAGGGTCGAGCTTCAGACGATCCCAATACGAACTCACTTAAAACAGCCTACAATAATGCCACCAGGTCTTGCAAAAGAGCGTACATCAGAGCGGATGCTCAGCGCGTCGCACGAGTTGGCCAAGAACTCCTGACGCATCCCACTGGTAGTCGTAGTTACTGATATGATATGCTTCCACTTGAGAATATTCATTGTTATGCAGATGATAGCACTGTTCATGGGGGATATCACGGATTCCCCGCAGCTGGGCGCGCCGATACTGACAGAGAGCGATCTAATCTTGTCGGTGAGCTCAATAGGATATTGGACCTCATCTCTGCATGGGGATCTAGAAATCTTGTTGAGTTCAACGCCAAGAAAACACAGATTAGCGCGTTAACAACAAAATTGTCGCCGTTCCTTCCCATGCCTTCTCTGATGAGCACAGTACTCTCACCTCAGAGCAGTTTTACCTTGCTCGGTATGGAAATCTGCTGTGATTTGAATCCAAGGAGCTACATCGAATCTGTGATCAAAACAGCCTCACGGAAACTCGGAGTCCTGAACAAGGTGCGACGTTTTTTCACGCCGGACCAGTTATGCCTGCTGTACAAAACACAGGTCCGGTCTTGCGTTGAGTATTGTTCGCACTTGTGGGACGGCTCCGCCAAGTACCTACTCGATGCCTTGGATAAATTACAGCGTCGTGCTACTCGAATTATAGGCGACGAAGAGGTCTCATCACGCCTTGAACCTCTGCAACTGCGTAGAGATGTTGCATCGCTTAGCGCCTTTTACCGCATGTACCATGGTGAGTGCTCTGAAGAGCTGTTCAACCTCATCCCCCCTTCCCCGTTCCTGCTCAGAAGCACGCGTGCTGGCTTTCTTAGTCACCGTTTCACTACCTGCCGCATTCCATCGCGTACTAAAAGGTTTGGTGGCTCCTTTCTCTGCCGCACGGTTGACAAATGGAACTCCCTTCCGGCACATGTCTTCCCTCCCTCTTATGATATGGGGTCCTTCAAACGAGGCGTGAAGAGGCATATTGTAGGCAGGCAGGGTGGAGGTGGCTAGTGCAGCGAGGGTTTCATCGCTGCACTAGGTTCCTTCGCGTTTGGATACCACTTTCCACTTAACATCAGGTGGAGTGGAGTCATTTGCCTGTCATGTATAAAAAAAAAAAAGTGACAATGGTGGTGAATATGTTAAGTATAATTTTCAGAAATATTTAAAAGAAAATGGCGTATGTCACCAAACAACAGTGCCATACTCACCGCAGCAAAATGGGGTTGCGGAACGAGCTAACAGGACTATAATGGAGAAGGTGCGTTGTATGCTTCAGGATGCGGGCCTAGACAAGCAATACTGGGCAGAAGCAGTTAATATAGCGATCTATATCAAAACCATGGCTGTCAAAGGTTGCACGCCAGAGGAAAAATGGACAAAGAATAAGGTAAAGCAAGCCTATGCTCATGAACACAAAAGAAATAAATTAGATCCTAAAGCTAAATATATCTTCGTTGGTTACTGTGAGGATACTAAGGGATGCAGTTTAATAAACCCTGAGGATCCTTAAAGATGTGTAAAGTCTAGAGTGTAACATTTATTGAAAAATGTTTTATAAAAGAAATGTCAAATGATAATCATCTTGAGTATTTATTTACACCAGTTGAAATAGTGAATAATGACAAATTACCTGCAAAGTGCCTCTAAGCGGATGATTACTTCTTTTTTTAATAAAACTGGACACGTGGCTACTGTTGCTTTGGAGAATCGTTGTACCAGTATATAATAGTGTATAATAAATACAATATATTATAGTGATTGGTACACGACCATCTAATTCCCGGAAGTTATTGACAAACTCCGTAAAAATAACCGTAAACGCCGTATCATCTTGCACCACGATAATGCCAGTTCTCACACGGCCAGACAGACAAATGAATTTTCGAACAACAACGTTGACCTAATGAGCCATCCCGCGTACAGTCCCGACCTGGCACCTTGTGACTTTTATTTATTTCCAAAAATTAAGAACCAGTTACGCGGTCAACGACTTTCATCACCTGAAGAGGCAATCGAAGAGTGTATTTTAAGAAGTGTATTTTTGTAATGTATTTTTTTCTTATTCATTCTGGAAACTTATAGTGCGGCCCACGTACAATCATAACAATGTAACAACGCACACACTCATACCCGCGCACTGGGGAAACCCTGTACCGCGGGTGCCAAGGACACACATAGGTAGACAACCACTAATTACACCCAAACTCACGAGAGAAATAATTGGAGGCCATACAAATATTTCTCCCGCCTGGAAATCGAAGCCGGGACCTCTGCAAGGCAGTCTATCATTGTAACCGTTAACCGTAACCACGGAGGCAGTTGAAGTAACAGTCATTGTTGGTATTTGATACATGATAATCACATTGTTATTAATAGTTATTGTAATATATAGTGAGATGGGTGGACGACATTGTCAAAGTTGCGGGCAGTGGATGGGTGAGATTAGCACAGGATCGTGATGAATGGCGCAAAGTACGAGAGGCCTATACCCAGCAGTAGGTGAAATCGGGCTATGGATAATGAAGTTGAAATTGTTATTATAAATTTAGTTTTCCTAAACTACTTGAATTTTGAAATGTCCCGTGGATGATATTGCTACTTACCTATCTGAGGGTCGTATTCCAGAACTGTACTCAATGCTCATGTCAGGATTTGAGCAGACTTGAGTATGATTTCAAGCACTGGAAATACTACCCTAATGGCAAGGACTTGAGTATGATTTTCAGTGCTCACTGCAATACTCAAGTCCTGACTTGAGTATTAAGTAGAGTTCTGGAATACGACCCTAAGTAACTTAGCATCCTTTGTTTTGGTCTTTCAACACAGTGCCTAAAGACAAATAGTAACAACAAACAACAACAAGTAAAGCCAGTGTAGGTAACTTTCAGTTTCTTATTTTTAATTGTAGTTGTTGACGCAATAGCTACCGAAAATCTTATTAATGGCTGCGACAAAGCCCTTTTCATCCAACCACAGCGGGTCGTTCGACGACGGTCGTGTGCTCGCAAACTCGATGCCTTCCTCCGCTGCTGCAAGGCGCATCACTTCTTCCACTCTTCTGCAAAGGGGTTTACATTAATCACCATAGATAAGATTGACTTGTTTTGACGTCATAATATACCGAAGGTACATGCTGCCATCTATGAACAAATCCACACCACATAAAATTTCTCCTTGCGGTAATCATAATAAAATTATGTACGGGAGCTTTACCGCGATCGCCAAACCGGTACCTGCCAAAATAGCAAACTATTTTTTTTTAATAAAAAACCAAGTCCAAGTCTAGCGATTCTAGTATCTGTTCTATTTTTCTAGACCTATTCATAGTCAATTGTAAAAAATTACACCAAAAATTTAAGTTGTGATCGTCACTAAAAAAGGAAAGAGTCTGAATTTCAATTTAAAGCTATTATTATTCGAAGTCTACAGACTATTTTGGTACTTTTGGTACTTAAGGAGTAGATGCACTGGACTTCAAAATTTATTTTGCGTTTCCCACTTCACCAGACACCATTACCTGTCAATGTCCTTTTCACGCTTGAATTTGTCCCCTGTCTTCTTGAAACAACGCCGCAACTTGCTCAGCACCGCGGGGTTCATTTTATTCATCAACTGCCGCGCCAGGCACTCGTCCTCGTCCTCGCTAGTGCATAACACATTCATAGTAATAAAATATGTAGTCAATAACAGAAATACTTACTCCATATACATACAACGAATATGTATATTATGCTACAAAATTATCTGCCATTATAGCCGCCTCTAGCAATTTGTGTAAGCATTCTCAAAAATTGAATTATACATACATACACTTCACACTGTTTTCCCATCAGGATTGGCAGGCAGACATAACCCTTCCACTTTATTTATCCTGTATATAAAATGGAAATGTTTCCATTTCAAGGAAAAACGATGGATTGATCGATGGAAAAAACTAAAATTGTAACTTCCTAAACTCAAATGAAAAGTTTTTATTTATAATGTTATTACAATTGTACCCACCATGATATACTTTCATCATCGCTTTTCACTGAATAACTTTTCTCCACAATCTCAGAGCACTCGTCGTATAGCGATTTTTGAGATTTTATAGACATCTTTAACTGTATACGCTCTCAGAATTATCCAACTTTAAAAACTATTTCGTTTGATCAATAACATTTCTTTAGCTATGAAATTATTAAAAACAGCCCCACCTAACGGAAGTAGTTGGAACTATTGGTGGAGAGCGACAAATAAAAGTTTACAGCATTTTACCGTCTCAAAGTGAAATGAGTAGTTCTTTTTGGACCAGATAGATGGCGCAAAATGTACAATTTTCCATTTCGGATTCACATACACAGGGAGCATTTTTGCTATATTGAAAAACAATTTAGTGAGAAAGTAGCTTATATTGTAGTAACCATTACAGCATGACGTATGTTTGTTTCTTGCTTTTTTGTTTATTATTATATTACTATTACCTTGGTAATCATATAAACTTTTGTAATAAATTATTGTTAGTATTAGCATGAACCACCCTTGAGGACTGCAAAACAGCGTAATCGGGTATTTAGTACCTATTGGTATTTATTTATTTATTTATTTTATTTATGTCTTCAATACAAGAAACTTATAATTAGGAGAACAAGAAAAAAACAATGCGCATAAACCAATACAGGTTTTTCGCACATTGGTAAAAAGCTATTTTTATGTAACTAATTTGTTTTAATCATTGGCGATTCCCTATACAATTCCCTCAAAATTACTCTAATTTTTAGTGATAACAAACAAATCAACTAGATGGCGCTTATTTCATAGATATTTATGGATACTGCCGGCAATTCTTATTTTGTTTAGGATTAGAGCTGTCTAACATGTCTACTCATAAGCGGTAATTTATATAAATTAGATTTAACATACCATCTGTTGATATCTGCCAAAGTTCAGAAAATAATCTTAGCTCACGTTCAATATTTAAATAACATTACAAAGAAAAAAACCAACTGCTAGTAATTCAAAAAGAAAGAGGAATTAATTGATATCCACGGCCATTTACATGACATAAACTACTTCCTAGCTATTGATCACCGCCACCTAGATATAAAGGCGGAATTTTTACCTTTTCAGAGTACGATCTGTAGGTAAATATGGAGATAAGTATCTACTTCTTTGGTTTTTTTTTTAATTCTATAAAAGCAACGTGTTGTGAGAAATGTGCATACCAAACGACAACAGTTTTAACAATCATTCTTTTGGACAAGGAAAAAGGAATTTGTCTAAAATCAAACACAGCCAATGAACAATGGTCTATTTTATTTATTTATGTAAGTATGTATAATACTTATTCTATAGTAACTAGACGTAGGCTATACATACACAGGGCGAGCGAATCGTATCTCAATTTATTATTTTCAATTTTAATATTTTAATAATAATGCTAGGTTGTTCACTCAGTCCTTTACTTACACTGAAACATTAGAAAACTATAAACACGAACACTAATCGAGAAATTCAGAATAGCAATGGAGATTTTTATTTATTATTAAAGAACATTTTTTATTGTTCTTCCGATATTGCAAAGTTATTATTAAGAACTTGGAGCAAAATTATACAAACGACTTTGGTGTTTTAAAATTGAAATGTCTACTTATAAACATAAAAATATGACCTAGGTTCTATGTTTAGTCCAAGATTGCAACGATAGTCCCGAAGTTCTTAAATACGTAAAATAAATCACATTAAAGTAACGGACGGAAGCAGCTTGCTGTTCACAAATATACCTAATGTATTGCGATTAAAATGTTAAAAATAATATATGAAAATACAAATTACCTAAAATAATATTTCCTTGAAACTGAAAATTATAAAGAGTTCTTGACGCTTCGGGACTGAAATCTACAAAAAGTAATTAGGAACTTTCAACCACATTTAATTAAAAATAACGAACAAAATGCAGTGGCCGCCAGTTTCCAAACATTATTTATTTTAATACCTAACTATACATTGGTTTAGACAAAGTATACTTTGGATGACGACTCTTCACGTCGAATACTTTCATTATAAACTACAGTTTATAAAAAGCTATAGACCAAAACATACATTTACGAAAATTAATATCATGTATTAAAATGATGCTTTGAAAAAAAATCTTTTCTTTTCCGAAGCACAGAATCGTTAATATAAGCACATTATTGCATAGCAGGAATTATTTTACAATTTAAGAAAAATATAAAATAAAAGCGTCTTCCGAACATTTGAAATAAATTCTAAAAATTATTGTTAAGCTCCATATTTTCAAGCGATAGAGGACACAACGTGCTCCAAGAAAATAATATACAAGTTCGTATACTTTTGAAACACTATTTTTATTATAAAACCGTCCTAACCAAAAGGAAGATCGTTTTATAGATTTTATTCTAGAACAATAAGTCTACAGTAAAATGGTGGAATGTCTCAACCTTACTAATAAGGAAAGGCGCATACGCTGATGTAGCCATTACCGTATACGTTAACAGAATGCAACATTATCACCAAAAACTACTCTGCCTGAAAAATATACATTCACCGCAAACTAATTCTTAAGTCGTTGCTTGAGCTTGCTTGCCTTTTAACTCGTTAATGCATATATAATTGTACTTACGGTCACCTCCTACCTCTCACGACTCTAGATTGGTAAGACAAGGTAAACGGTAGGAGTTTTATTTCTAATTAATTTTGTACCAAATGTTTATATATTTTCGTTTACCTGTATGAATTTTTTCACCGAGAGAGGGAGCCGGAAATATTTACCTAGTTTGAACTCGTGTCTCCCATATTTAAGCTTTACCTATGTAAAAATTAAAAAAATAATGTATTTTTCGGGATGTTTTTGACCTAACAGGAAAAATCTACGATTTTCTTTTGGAATAAAAAATAATTTTGGATCTTTTTTTTAGCAATCCTATCGTAGCAATAGTCTTGTAAGATTATTTTGACAAATAAAAAATCTCCTAGAATAATGGTATACAGCGAACTTCGTAAGTACGTCATTACAATTCTAGTTACGTACTAATTAATACTTTATATACTTACGAATAAATAGCTTATACTAACCATAACTATGTTTTTATTGTACGTACGCGTATACATGTATTCTTGATACAGCTCACAAATTTAATGGAACTCTATATTTTTTAGTCACTATCCTGGATGCGTAAAGTTACCATTAGGAGAGACAAAGTTGCACAACCAAAATACGGAGTTTTCGCAATTTCAATGAAAGGCCAAAAATTGTTAGGGATAGTCAGTCCAGGCCGTCATTCCAACGCGAATGACGACCGATACTTCTTTACGAGAGAAACAAATCTGTGACATTAACAGTCGGAGATGACACTTCTTTCAAAGTTCTCAACGGCTTCAAACGGGGAACTGCCACTGGACAGTTGCGGCAGGACTGCAGAGCGATCCTCGAGGAAACGGGGGCCCGGTCGCCAACGGGACCGACGCCCTTCGCGGAGGCCTGCGGGGCTCGGCTGCGGCGGCGGTCGGAGGCTAGTGGTGCTGCGCGGGCGGCGGTCAGTAGACGGGGCTGTGCGCGTCGTAGTTGAGCTGCAGGTAGGGCGGGATGGCGGCCGACAGCTCGGAGGCGCGGCGCCGCAGCGCGGCGATGCTGTGGCCGCGCCACACGTCGTCCTCGCCGTCCGCGCCTGCGCCGCGGAGCGTGAGGCGGCGGCCGGCGCCGGCGCCGCCTCGCGCGGGGACACTCACCTGCGGCCGTGGGCGACGCGTTGTTGTTCGCGCAGTGCGCCATGTGCGGCGGCGTGGGCGAGCCCTCCAGCGGCCCGCCGCCCTGCTGCCCGCCGATGTTGTTGCAGTACGACATCATCGTGTCTCCTGCAGTCAGACAATCTTGTAGTGCCGCATCGACGCGTCCTCGTGCCGGGCCGAACCGCCTCCGAGAGGAGTCTCTGTCGCCTTAATACATGTTCAATCTAAATTCCCAGACCTCGGCGTTCTGTAGTTTACTGATCGTTTACGGATCAGTTCTGAAATAAATGATTGTTAGCGTTCGTATACGATCATTGTTCGTTCACGTTCATCCCTATTTACCGTTAACGCGAATGTCCCGAAGCAGATGCCGCTTCGTATCCTTCCGATTTAAAATCCTACACCATCAAGCCTGTGATCCGTTTCAACGTCTCACGCTACTGACTGAAAATGCAACACAGGATCAAAAAGCAGCGACTTTTGCCTTCGATAGCAACAAAGTCACCACGAACTCACCGAGCGAGTTGAGCGGGTAATGAGTCTGGTAGGACTGCGAGGCGACGGAGCTGATGGGTAGCGCCGGGTTGAGGTCTGCGGCCAGCTGGGGAAGACCGCCAGCGCCGAAACCGCCCATCGACACGCCACCTTGCGATAGCTGACCTAGACCTGCAATGGAAATAAATTTCTTTAGTGACGATATATAACCTTGGTAGGAGATACTCAAAGTACTGCCACCTTGTCTATTTCTGCCGCCAAGCAGTAATGTCAGCATTACTGTGTTCCGGTTTCGAAGGGTAAAGGATGCTGGTGAAATTACAGGCACATGGGACTTGTCAACTTATGCCTCAGGGTGACGGGCGCAGTAGCAGTACCGTTCAGATTCTCTGAGTGGCACTGCACCTCTTATGGACAGGGTGTAACTTACCATCAGGTGCACAACTTGTTCATCCCGTGGCTTAATATTATAAAAAAAGAAAAAAAGATATTTTATGATTTTTATGATATTTTAAAGAAAAAAATACTTACCGGCTGGCATAGACCAGGGCCGGTCCCCGAACACACCAGGACTACAAACGTCCCCGCCGAATGGTGGCAGCCCATGCGAGGGCAACAGCGCCCCAGGCGATCGGAACACATTGGTGCTCTTCTTGCGTTTCTTCCACTTCGCGCGACGGTTCTGGAACCACACCTGAGGAAGAAGAACATTTTTTCATCAAATCGCTAATAATATTACAAAAAATTATTCACGGGCGTTAATTTAGACAAGCTCTGTTAATGATAACTCGTAATTCTGCCGCGCGTTTAGATAGAGCGAGGGAGAGCAAGTTACTGTTTCAATCTGAACATTGTAAGAGATACATGATTAGATATAGAAGTAAGTAAGTAATTGCAGTGCCCTCACAGGGTATATGTTGGACCAAGTAATAATTTAAATATATATTTCATAATTGTAATAAATTGTAATAATTAATGAAAATGCATTTGTGTAAAATGAATAATTAATTAAGTTATAACCATTGTAGTGCCCTTACAGGGTTTATGTGCTGGAAAACTATTATGTTACACCCCCGTTTAACCACATAAAGCAATGAATAAATAAATAAATAAATAAATAAATAAATAAATAAATAAATAAAT